TGTGTGAAAGATGCTTCTTGGGTGCGTCGGGTTGATTTTAGTCGGGCTGAGGTGAATCCGAGCCTGGGGACAGTGACTTGTTATAACTGGAGCCAGTCTGATGGTGTTTAGCTGAGTCAGGATCAGATGCTCATTCTCTGCTCTGTTATTATACCATTAGCTCCATAACTCAGTGTAAGTGAGTGTTATTTCTGTCTGTGTGTGTGGATACTGCATGTGTCTGAGCAGGTTCCTTCTCATTATTGCAATACGTCTATATCCGTCTGAATGGCTTGTGAAAGAGGATAAAAAGTGGACGTGAATGTGTGCATCCAGTGATGTGCATGAAAAACACACCCTCTTTAACTTGTTCACTTTTTCCCTGTTGCCGCTCTCTCGTTGAAAAGGTTGTCGTTGGTTCTTACCGCAGATGTTGTTCCTGGCAGGAGCCGTTTCAACCGAGGATGGACAGAAATGGAAAGTTTTACCTTTTTTCTCACTATGAGGCTTTTAGCTCGTGTGCCGCTGTGTGCAGAAGGAAAATGCTGTTAAACCGCCGTCATGTGACACGAGCTTAAAAATGGTGTGTTTGGAGGTCGTTGTTTTGTTTTTTTTTGGTGTCCAACCCTAGAATTTATGAATCAGTGCACGTTCCAGTCGACTGCCTTCCTGTGAGTGTGGCGTGTTTTCCAAAGGAACTAATGAGCATGTGAAAAACATGCTGGTGGGAGTATTTTGTTATGCATGTACAGTCCCTCAGTGTTTTCTCTGGAGGAGGTGCACGTGGGAACACAAATATCCGAGTGAGATGAAAACTACAGACTTTATCCACCTGACCTCCAAATGTAAAGTCCGTAGACATCCAGGTGAAAAAGCGGTGACACCCGTAGAAGCCACCGACGAATATGTAAAGAGAGTTTCTGGTGATAAGAGCTGCTGGCGTCTCTTTCCTCCGCCTCACTGCAGTTCACGGCAGAGTAGACAGTGACATTTGTCTTTTCAGATTCAGTATCTGTCGAAACCATAAAACAGTAATTATACCAGAAACCTGCAGCACACACGCTCCCTGTGTGAACAACGGATGAGCCTGAGACAAAACTGATCAGCGACGCAGCCGTCACGCCGTGCACATGCTCCCAGTGTGGCCCAGGCCCTGCTCCGCTGTTTTCAGACGTGAACTCTGGAACATTTTTGGGAAAATTGTGTCCTGAACAGGGAAGTGAGATCCGAACACAAGCCGCGGACACGTGGAGATGCTTTCTAATGTCTGTCGCGCTCGGAGGAGTCAGCTTGTGATTGGATCACTGCAGGTGCATGTTAATACCGGGTGTGAACATTGTCACCAGCACGTCAGTGACCAGAAGTTTCTTTTAGTACGTCAGGGAAAGATAAAGTCGAGAGTTTTTGTGAATCCAGCCACAGATCCACAGCGAACAGAGGAACACTGGATACAGACCCGGATGCTGTCTCACTGTCCTTGTCTTTCCTGCTCTTCCTCCTGTTAGCAGTATTTCAACCCAGTCGCTCAGTGTCCTTGTTCTGAGTGTATGAGCCGGTCCTCACTCACTGTGTGTGTGTGTGAGAGAGCAGTGAAGCAGAATGCTGTGATTCTTCCCGACAGCTCTGCAGTGCGACCGACTCCACTGCAGCAACACTCGACCTGTGTGCGTGCTGGCAGGAGTGTGCATGTGTGCGTGCGCCTCCTTTAATGCCGGTATTCTCAACGGTGATTATGAGGAAACCTCTTATCCCCAGTCTCGGTCTGGAAGGGTTTTGGTTTTTGCTGCGTTCTCACTGCAAGACTCTGCAGGAAATGTTTTCACGATCAGCAGCCATCAGGTTCCAGAGATCCTCACTGAGGTGGTGATAAATACTTCAACTGTGCCACTTGGCTCCGTCCTCACGACACACTGACCCTGATAGTCCATCATGTGAACAAACCGGAAGGTTCTCAGGCTGTGGACGCCACATGTGAACTGCAGTCGATTCATTTGCTGATTATTTTCTTGAGTTATGCTCTGAACTATGAGAAAGTGATTAATAAAAAAGGAAAATAATCACAATTCATAGAGGCTGTGTATTTTTTTTTTTACGATAAACAATCAAATACATGAGCTCCTAAAGATATTTGTTTTTTGAATGTCGACAGTACGGCTGGGCGACCTGACTTCAAATCAATATCACGATTATTTCAAACGATTATTTTATGTTCAAAATAAACGTAGCGGAAACGTTAACCAAGATTAAGTCGGTTAGAGGTTATCAGTGTTGGTTTATATATTTCCGGTTAATTCCTCAGCCCTAGTAAACGGTACGTTTCCATTGCACTAATCTTAATCTCAACCCTTTGAACATTTCCATCTGTCACATAAATTATGTGAATATAAGGATCCAGATTAATTTTTTTTATAAGATAAGCTGCTGCTGCTGACAGTGTAAAAACTTTATTTATTAGAATATAAAATGTGGATTTATTTTGTACAAACAGAGAAAACTGGAACGATTATAAAATATATCCAGGTTTTTCTATTTACTATGGTTGTATTAAATGTGCTGTCTAAATTAACACGACATTACCACCTCTCATTTGTTGATGGAGAGACATGTATTTTTCTTTTTCTATTGTCCACAAATTGAAAGTTGCACCAGTGAAAGTTTTCTGAAATCTCGAGCTCAGGAGCAGCAAATACACATTTTCTAATTCATTGTCTTTGTTAAATCATTTGAATCCCAACACTGTGGTTGAGTTCGTTGTTTTATTCTATTCCAGTTTTCTATTTTTTCTGCCCTCCAGTGCTGGCAGCTTGTGGCCCATCTGAATAAAAGGAAAAAAAAAGAAGCAGGCTGCAGATTTAACCCGAGGCCAGTGTAAGAGAATGCATGCAGTAATGTGACCTGACGGCCGGCCTTGTCTCGGCAGTGTTGGATCGTGGGTGTGTGTGTTAGCTGGTTACTAGGCAGACCAGAATATGCATTTATATCTTGCAGCTCAGCAGCAGAGTCTGACAGAGCTGAGGGTTTCACTCCCGCTGGACTCGCTCAGTACTGGCAACGAAGAAGAGGATTTGCTATCTTGAAGTATCTTCAAGCAGTTTACGGCACCGAAAACACGCTGCGGAGTAAGTGGCACTAAATCTAAAACGTCAACCTGTCTGTGCCCTTCAGCTGCTGCAGACTAAACTGTCCGAGACAAGCTGTTTTAAATGGGTGGGGGGGAGGGGGAGGGGGAGGGGGTGTCCCTGTGACATAGTACATTCCCTAAACGTTAACCCAATTCCAACTTTGACATTAAAACCAAGTCTTAATCTTCAAACAGTTCGTTAAAGTGGCGAGAACCAGCTGAAATGTCCTCAGTACAATAGTTAAAAACTGACACACACACACACACACANACACACACACACACACACACACACACACACACATCCTCAAGGCCTAAATGACCTCATATTTCCAGTTACGTGATGTTCGGTGAACAGTCGCACTATGAGCACCAGACTAAAGTGGCCAGTTCTAACTCACACTTACAGATGTAGTGTGAACATTTAAGAATGTTTTTTTAACAACGAAGGATTAAAAGATCAAGTTGGACACTAGACCGTGAATAAAGATGGACGACACGTCCCCACTTCCTCCCGTTGTACAAGAATAAAGCCAAAATATCTTGGATACATACGGGTGTCGCCGTCTTGAGCTTTTGACGTCATCCTGAGTCTGTGGAGATCACATCGTCAGGCTCCTTCATCAGGTGTGGACTACGTGAAATAACAGATTCAGAGATGTACTGTTAATGCAATGCATCTCCTTACAAAGCTATCGGAGCATTTCATTGGGCAAACTTCATTTGGTTTTCCTCCTTTTCCTCTGCTGAAGCTTTACGATCTTTTACTTCCACTATAGTTAACCTGCCAATTATATTTAAAGTATATATTTATAGTGTATAAACTTAATAAATTGATCATTTAGTCTCAAAAACACTGGAGAGGAGATAAGAATTACCCGAAGGGGATGTTATCAAAATATCACAACTTTAATAAAAGGAAATATAGCAAACTGTTTAAAACTATGTTTCTCAATCACATGGGGGCGAAAACCATTTCAAGATAAAACCTAATCGTTATTTCTTTCAAGTTTAAGGACAGATTTTTGAAAAGCTGTGATTTTTAAACTCTTCTTAACGGAAAAAGAACGACAAACTATTGATAAACAGCGAAACATTTTAAAAATGTGAGACAGATTAAGTGTTATACCTCCTTATATCGCTTTGTTATTTATTTGCTGAAAAATATTGATAATGTTTAATTGTTAAGCCCTAAAATCATGATCAAAATGTGAAAAAAGGGACAATTTCCCTCTAATTGATGACAATATGTTGCTCAGAAGAACTGGACTATTAAACAGGAAATAAAACATAACCACACGGAGACGTGAGTGGAGCTGAATGTTCTGTGTATGTCTGTTTCCCTCAGGATTGTGTCTCGATGCTTTTAAGAATCCGAATGATTAAGAAATACACAAGAGGTGAAGTAACAATACCCTCATTGTTTGAATTTAATGTTCCCCTGTCTGCAACTTATTCTGGTCATTTATTGTGGAAACTATAATCATGACATTATAGACGCTATCAGCGAACCAACCGAGAGGTAAAGCTATTGTTTCCAGTTTTAGGAATTAATTTGAAAGCCTCTGTGTTGGCCGGCTGCCTTTGTTTCATAATAGCCTTTAACGCCTGTTAGGCAACGCAGGAGTCGTCAATTTGTTGAGAAGGAGAAACAGAGCTTAAAGCGTTACACAAGCTCCAAACACCAGGTAAAGACCCCAGAGCTCAAACTAAACCAAGTCACAATATTAAAAACAGGAGCCGAAACAACACGAGGAACTCATCTGAAGATATTCACCACGGGAGGTTTGCTCCCTCGGCAGTGAAGAGATCAGAGCTGCAACAGTTAGTCACTTTAAACTCGGCGACGATTTGAGATCCACGTGGTTTTTGAGCAGAAATGCAGAAAAGTCAGTCAATAGATTCCGAGTCGTACTAATGTTGACGATTCACGTGTTTCAGTCAAACTTCTCATCAACCTGCTGTTCAATAAAACCATTCAGTCGAGTTCAGTGGACTTAACTAAACATCGGAAATGTGAACATCGGCCCACACAGCTGTTAGCGTGTTCACGATTTTATATAATCTTGTTTAAACAAAACAAATTATTGCGAACATATATACGCTTCGACGTTTTTAAGCGTTAAACAAATACACTTACGTCGTTTTCTACGATTCTTCTTAACGGATTCACTTCAACGGCTTCCGAAGCACGATGAACATGTCGGCCTAGCAAACACAAACCAGGAAGTAGCTAAACAGGAAGTGACTGATCTGGAAGTGATTTAACAGGAAGTGATGTAACAGGAAGTGTCATCCTAGCTCAACTAGATTTTTTTTTTTGGCACAAATAGAAAATACTATTGATTTTACAGAGCGCGTTGATAGAAGAGTTATTAACTTATTGTTTTCAACCATAAAAATGAGCCAACAAATTAATTCAAATGTTTTATTCCTTAACTAAAGGCCTTTAAGGCGACACAACCACTGAAGAAGAATATTTATAATAATATAACTTTATTTGTATAGCACAGTTCATATAAGAAATACAGCTCTAAGTGCTGAACACACAATATAGATAGAAATAAAAACATATTAATTATAATAATTTAGATACGAGAACAGATTTTAAGAAACAAGATGTTAAACTTACATTTAAATAAAAGGATTTCTGTTTCATCCTCATTAAGCTTTAGGAAACTATTGCTCATCATTTCTGCTGAAAGCCATTTAGTCTTAGAGTGAGAATAATAACGGTCCAAGGCAGAAGAAAGCAGCACGGAACGGCTGCCATGTGTCCAACACATGATCTCCAACACTGACATAGAACTTCCTCCCTTTAATGACCAACAACTTCTCAACACGATCAATACGTTTGTCGGTGAATCAAAACCAGCGCTCAGGTCGTGGAGGAATGGAAACCTTGTTTTCATCAGAGTTTAGTCTGAGGTCAGTGGTTGGTGTACAATGAGGTTCTGATTGATTCATAATTAAAGACATTCAGCAAACCGATCCTGAGTGTTTACACTGGGCAGACACTCAAACATGAGCTGCTGGGAAACTGTTATTGGTCAATTCGTCCCAATAGTTTTCCTGTTGCAACACACAGAGACATGAGGAACCATTTTAAATGACTCATCAGTTTTAAGTCCTGGACGGAGATCGAACTGTAAAGTTGTGAAAATGAAATACAACAGAAAGAGGTGCAGTTACTTTCTGCTATCGTCAGCTTGTTGCACTGAAGTTCCGCCATCCATCCATCCCTCCCTCCCTCCATCCATCCATCCATCCATCCATTCATCCATCCTGTTTTTCTTTAGACTTCTTCTGGGATCGGTGAAGTGTAAACGTCGTCAGCTCCATCAGTCTTCTACCTGTTCCAGTTACAGTTCCTGTGTAAACTAATGCAGGTTCCAGATGTTGGTTTGTCACTGGATGGTTGCTGGTTTGAATCCTCAGACTGACGGTCAACAGGCAGCACTGACGCTCCGATGTACACATGAACAGAGAACTGTGTGTGTGTGTGTGTGTGTGTGTGTGTGTTAGTCTCAACAACAGCGTTGTTGTTGTTTCAGCCAACAGTTACTGATCATATGAGAGCTGCTAATGATCTTATGCAAGCTGGGATTGGAGCTAGCGTGTGTGTGTGTGTGTGTGTGGAAAAGTGTAACGTTCCTCTGTGCATGTGATGTGTTGACATTTTTGTGTGTTTGCGCTGCATGATAAGCCTGTGGAAGGAGAACACACACGCACACTCCCACACATCCATGTGACAGACCGAGTCATGTTCACTGCGACGTTCGCTCGGACACACACACACACACACACACACACTTTCTTCAACATATTGGGAAAGAGAGAGAGAGAGAGAGAGAGAGAGAGAGGGTGACCACAGCAGTGTATTTAAATGCTGTGGCCTGTCAGTTATTTTTAGGTGGCTCACATCCAGCCTGCACAGCGTGACGGAAACACACACTAGTGCCACCTGCTGACTGTGCAGTTGGTGTGTAGGCAGCTGCCAGGCATGTGTGTGTGTGTGTGTGTGTGTGTTGGGAGTTTCTGGAAGATGTATTTTATCACAGTGGTAATAAACCTTCTCTGTGTGTCTCTGCAGGGGGATTGAACTCTGGGCTGTGTTGGAGCTGGACTGAGCTGAGTTAACAGACCAAAGGTAAACAACATTAACAGCTCGCATCATTTCATGTCGTTAAAAAACACACAAACACCTCCCACCTGGTTATTGTCTGCGATGGACACAGTCCGTCCAGGGTGGGATGTCTCTGCAGAAGACAGCGTCTCATCTCCCGAAGGTATCTTATCTCATCTGTATGGTTTTGCTCACACGTCATAGGTCAGTGGAGACGTCATACCTCGAGCTAAATGTCAACTTCATTTATTTTTGACGTTATGACAACAATCATATGCACAATTTGGACAAAAGTATGTGGACAATGTTCCAAAAGTGCGGTGGTGACCCTCTCTTGTTGCAACGTGACACAATCCTTTGCACAAAGCCAGAATCCATATTGAAATAGTTTCCGTTTTGTTCACGCCAAGTTAACTGAACCTGCAGTTCTGACACCTTTGGATTCGCCCTCCTCCCCCCGCCATCGACGGCCAAACTCACAAACGCCGCTGTGGCGGATTTAGGATCAAATCTCTGCAGCCAGGTTCAGAAATCTGGTGGAAAAACCTTCCCAGAGAAGTGGAGGCTGTTACAGCAGCAGCTTAACGTGGCTTTGGAACGAGATGCTCAACAATTACACAAAGTATGGGCACAATGCTCTGACATCAGATTGCATTTGACAGAATTAATCACGTTGTTACGTCTGGTGTCGCCACTGTTACTACTACACCCTCGCTTACCACTGCTCACACTCCCAGACCCTCTCTCAGGCTTCCTGTTTCTGCTCTTGGCTGTAATCTCATTTAAACTGGTCTCTGTTGTCTGGAAAAGTTATTGCTGACATCTGGTTCAGACATATTGTGTAAGATTTGTTTTTACCCCTTGTACCCAAAGTAAAGCATGTTATATTTTTCTCTTAGCATGCTGCTTTCTCACTTATCCACTCTTGATGTTAAGAAGGTATGCAGATGTTTCCAAAATAAATATTTTTGCAGCGACTGCACATTTACCCCCCCGATTTATTCCACGTTGATCAGATATCACAGACGATTAATCAGCCGTGGCCTCTTACAGGCTTCTGTATTCTTTTACGTTCCATCCTCACTGAGCTCTGTGGAAAACGAGATGTCTCTGCGGTAAGAGGTTCGACATCGAGCCAAATCAACATCGTTATAATAACTAATATCTGGATACTTGAGACAGAATTTATGTTAACTTTACCTTCAGCGGACGGAAAATGTCACAATAACTTTTGTGCGTTGGAATTTAAAACGTCTTTTTTACTTATGAGTGGTAGTTATTTATGAAATTACATATCTTTGTCATAAGGGTATGATTAAGACATCATAGGGATTATTGCGGAATGTTTTTACTCCTAGTATTGGTATGAATATTAGGCTGTGTGGTGTGTGTGTGTGTGTCTGTGTGCGAAGGGGGTAGTGCTGTCAAACAAATATTCTAAACTCAATTATATAATCAAATTGTAAAACAAACAGACATTTGATTCTGAAAATGAATTAATGTTCTCGGCCGTCTGCCAGCGATGGTCAGAAAAACACACGACGTCACGTTCGATTGAAAGTTCAATGGAGGTAAAATGGAAACCAACAAATATTTAATCGTTACCTTGTGTTACCTCTCATATCGTACAAAATGAACATTAAGCACAACAATTTAAATAAGAATAGATCAAGCTTGTGTTTTTTATTTTAGAGGGAGTAGTTCACACAACATTTATTTTAAAAGTGCAAGCAGCGAGATCTGTAAAAGAGTTTGTTCAGAAACTGGGGTTTTTGTGGGGAGATGTCCTGTTATATTATTCAGCTTTGGAATGGAGTGTAGCTACACACACACACACACACACACACACACACAGCTGCACATGCTGCACTGATGTGATCATATCAAAGTGGTGTGTGTGTGTGTGTATAAATACAGGTACTATAAATACACAGTGTGTGGTTGTGGGCAGTTGTGAAGGAGTGGCTCGTGTTTCTGTGTTTATTATAAAGCAGCAGTTTGGGTTTGGCAACGTATATAAAGGTAAATATATATAGAGTGACGTCTAATCATTATAAAATTCTAGTGATTGAGGCTGAGAAAGTTGGTGGAGCTCTCTCACATGTCAACATGTATGTAAGTCCCAGATCCACGACTGCAAATGCATCCTTCTTTTCCAGAGCACGGACGGGGGATTCTTCCCAGGCCAAACTATCCCAGGATTCATTGCGTGCTCATCCCGCCCGCCTGTATTCGCCACCTCGTTCTTTCAATCGCCACCCAGAGCACGTGGTGAGGGGTCGGAACGCAGATCCACCGGTTAATCGAAAGCCTCAGCGTCCCGCCTGTCCGTCTCGCGCTCCATCTTCCCCGTCACTCGTGAACCTGAGATACTTAGACTGTCTCAGGTTCTGAGAATAGCAGAGCTGCGCCTCCACTGTCCCACTTTCACGTACAGCTCACAGAGCCCCACACGCATCGAGCTGTGGCAAACCTTCAGCACGCAAACGCTGCCGTGATGTCTTTTTCATGCGTCCATGTTAAATCCATTCAGGTGCAGTAGCATCGACTTCCTGCTGCCGCTTGTTTGTTGCAGGCAAAACTAGACCTCATTTGTTCTGTCCCTAAATCTGGAGCACTCCATTCAAGTGTGTGTGTGTGTGTGTGTGTGTGTGTGTGTGTGTGTGTGTGTGTGTGTGTGTGTACTCTACATTTAACTATATTTTAGCTGAGGAGGGTGAAATAAAAGCCCCACTCACTCTGCCTCCAGCCCCCACTCGTCCTCTGCATTAATGTCCCTTCCTTGAATTGAGACACGGAGGCAGATGTCGATACGAAGCAGGGAAGCAAGGAGGAAATGATGTAATCCCTCCTGCAGGTCTCAGGGGAAGTGATATCATTGTTGCTGGATCAGCAGGCGGCTCCTCGCTCGTTTCTGCTTCCTCCCTGTTTGAGACCAGCTAAACATTTCAGCTACTCGGACGATACACCTCCGTCATGAAATACCTTCAGAATAATTCAAACTGTATTCGTACGGTCCGAGCGGTCGTCGAATCACAAATGGACGACACGCGTTAAAGCGGATGATCTCTTTGTTTTGAGGTTCGGAGAATAATGCGTGTGAAGGTTGTGTGTTCCTGTGATTTGTTGATCTTGTGTTGGATCAGTTCGGACCTGGAACATCCTGAAGGTTTTCCAGAGAGACAGAGATAACACGCGTGTCTCCTGTAAGAAAGAGTCAAAGAGTTTTACTGCAGGATCACTTGGCAGCATGTCAGGACTCACACACACACACACACACACACACACATACATCATTGTATTATGTCACAACATGTGCAGTATGTTGAAGCCAGATCGTTGCTTATTCCATTTACTTTGTTCAGCTATTTAATTCAGTCAGGATGGAAATGTTTGGCACAAAGACACGATGAAAACAGAGTGAAGAGAAAAAAGAAAGTAAATGAATAAAAAAACAGAAGAAGATTAAAATAATAAAATGTAGAATTACACGACGATCGTTTCGTTTAAATGTTTTCAACCCTGAACAACAAACCCACACGTCGGTCTGAACGCAAACAGACACCACACACTGTTAAATGATGTTCTGACTGATGATAGTGTGTGTGTGTGTGTGTGTGTGTGTGTGTGTGTGTGTGTGTGCGCACACGTGTGTAGAAGAAACATCCCAACGTCTGGATTTACTCGTTGCATCTTTTTTCTCTGGATGTGATTTATAGGTTCACATTACACGAAAACCAACAAACTAAAAATACCATCAACTCTGTGTGTGTGCGTGTGTGGGGGGGTATGTATGTATGTATGTGTGTGTGTGTGTGTGTGTGTGTTTGTGTGTGTGTATGTGTGTGTGTATGTGTGTGTGTGTGTGATCCTGATATAGAGCCGTGGGAACAGGCCTCATCACTGCACTCGAAGGGACTTGAAGCCTTTTCTTTTGGTGTTGTTGTTGTTGTTGTTGTTGTCGTTGTTGTTGCAGACCATTGAGGCTCTTGTGTTGCATTGTGGGAAAGTAGTACAGATGCTATGTGTTGCTCAAGGGCACTACAGCATTTTCATCTCTTTCATCTTTTTGTTTTTGGTCTTGTGAACGAAATATCTCAACAACAACGCGTTGAAGGGATTTTTCAGATTTGGTCTAAATGTTGAGTTTGACTCAGGGACTTGTTTGATTTTGGTGATCAGAGGTCAGAGGTCAAGGTCACTGTGACCTCACCCCCCCGTTTCGTTCTGTGATGTCTGAAGAAGGCCTCGGGAGAATCCTTTCAAATGTTCAAAGGGACTGAAAGCTGAACTGATCGGGTTCGGGTGGCAGAAGGTCAAAGGTCACTGTTACCTCATATGAGTCTGTAGAATGTAGTGAGTACAAGCTCAGGGTGGTTGTCCTCTAATGTCCCTTGTCCTCTTGCCCACCTTCGTCTCCTCTCCTGTCTCATTTTCTCTCCTACCTTCTCTCCACTTGTTTCCTCCTCCCTCCCTCCACAGATTTATGTCCCAGTTTCACACAGGGAAACTGGGTAGTCCTCGTATTTCTCCCTAAAAATATCCGCGGTGTAAAACTGTACATGCGTCGGTCCTGTCGCCTCCCTGCCGGACAACAGCTGCCTTCACCTCCATATTTAACTCGTCGTGAAGGGTCAGGGGTCAGGACTCCGAGGTTCAGGCCACTTCCTGTCCTGGAGTGTTTAAGAGATCGTGACAGGACAAACTGTTTACCTGCTGAGAGCGTGTTCAGTGATTCGACCTGTGCCTGTAAGCAGTCGGTCGTTACAGAAACTCAAGAAACCGCAGTAATAAATTTAGTTTTTATTGTCTAACTCCCTTTGATTAAAGCAGAGGAGCAACAGAGTAAAGGACGGGAGTGAGTAGAACAAGGAAAGGAGGGAATAAATGAAGGAAACGAGGAAGAGGTGGAAACAGTAATAGAGGGGGAGAAATCAAGGGAGAGGAGAAGTAGGAGGAATGAAGGATGGGAGGATGATTGCATGGTTTGAGCCTGAGAGACAGGAGGAGTGTGGCTGCAGCAGCAGAGTAATTACTGTTTACTTTGGATGCACACACACGCTCAGCACTAACAGCACACCGCTACGACCTGCTGTCTCAGCTCCGACGCAGAACAGAGTCCGACAGTTTCTGAGACTCGCTCTTTCTGGTGCGGCATCAATCTGACACTTGAGTCAGGAATCTGGAGCTGAGCAGCAGGAGGTTTAACAGAGACGGCCGAGTTCATGCGACTCCTTTTTCTGCCGAGGACGAGTTTTCCCCCTCGTCTGTGTGATTGTTGTTTGTTTGTTGTCTGTCAGCAGGATAACGCAAAAAATAAAAAATAAACTGATTTCCACTTAACTGGTCAGGGAAGAGTCTGTTCACATTTTGACACCGATTTCCCAAAGAACAATTTGTGGATCTTGATGAAAAGAGAATCAGTGTTAGTCCGAACCAGTGTTTCCATGGATACAACACGACGACATGTGAAGATACTTTAACATCTACGTTTTTTAAAAACAGGGACTGACTCTTTGCTGAAGTAAATTTCTTGAACCAAAGTGTCTGAAAAGGAAACCGAGCAGTCGATCGTCTCACTTTCTCATCGGACCAATTATTCGCACGTGCAGCCAAAAGATTTGACTCTTAAATCAACCTCAAGACGAGGCCGTAGTTTACCTTAACACCTTGAGCGGAGAATTCAGAATTCAGTTCTATCACTTTCTGTGGTCGGAGGCTGATTTTGAAGGTTGATGCACCCGTGTGTTTTTTTTCTGAAGCTCAGCTCAGAGTCAACGTGAAGTGAATTTTCCTCGGCCGACTGTGCCTGCGAAGAAAAAAGGTTCATTTGTTTGGCCGGCGTCGAACCTTCGCCTGTGTGGAAGCAGCAGATTGTTGTTGGAGAGCGCAGCTGTGAGAGTTTTCACAACGGTCCTCTAGTCCCTCGGCGGTCTCCAGAGCACACACACACTCACACACACACAGACACACACACAGACACACACACAAACACACACACACACACTCACACACACACGTGCCCTAGCCTCCAGTCTAAATGACAGACCTTCTTAACCACAGGGATCTAATTGTAGCTCCTCAGCGTGTGTGTGTGTGGTGTTTGTGTGTGTGTGTGTGTGTAGGTGTGTGACATTCTGCTCTCTAATCTTGTGTGTGTTAGTGTGTGTGTGTGTTGGTCCGCTGTCTCTTCCCATTGGGGGACGGGGGGGCGACAACAAAACTGCTACCCAGGAATAGCACACCGAGCCCTGGGTGATACTTTGGGGTCGCCCGGGCGGAGATGTGGAGGAGAGGGAGCAGGAGGTGCTGAGAGGAGAAGAGTAGGTTTGCTCTGCCACCTCATGGAGGAAACTCATTTCACCTGTTTGTGTCAGTTGTTGTTCTGGTCTCTACACAAAGATTAGGGTCCGTGACTGTGGGGACCCTTCCTGCAGGGAGTGGCTCTGGGGTTGGGGGCAGGTGGTCGGACCCCAGACATCGCAGACTGTGTTTTAATATCTGTATCTGTGACTCCGTATGGAAGTGATGATTACTACACTTGTCACATGACCTGGTTCAGTTTAAACCCTTTGAAAAACAAACACATGCAGAGAAAGACTAACAAAGAGATTATTTATTTATCTACAGTCAGATGCGAAAAAGAAAAGAAATAAATAAATGTAGGACTGAGAAACTGAAGCCTTGCAAACGCTTCACGTCGTCGTGGGACTTTCCAGTGTGAAACATCGTGAAGATTTTAACACAACACTGTCAGAATCACTTATTTTACTCCTTAAAAACAGTCAGATCACAGTTTTATCTGGGTGAAATGAAGATACTTCAGAGACGTGGTTTCGGTGCGTAGACTCGCCGGAGCCCGACCCCGTTTCCAAATTGTGAAACTGCTCCTTTGAAGCGGCACTTCGAGAACAGCGCCCTCTGTGGCAACCACATGCAATCACAGGATGATGTCGCCCGTTACCCGTGCTGTTTGTTTTAGAAAGAATTCACATTTTGAAAATGAATCGTCTCTTAAATGTGTGTAATTGTCACTCGATCATTTTGTTTCATGGTGTAAGAGAGTTGAGTTTTATTTCTAGTCAGATAAATCTTTTGGAACTAAGTAAATATTTGCTGCTGATTGTCGACGCAGAAGAATTCAACAGCTGCTTCGCATCTTTGTCTCTGAACTGTATCCAGTGTAAACAACCATATATTTCATATGTGCGACTGTGTGTGTTTGTGTCATTAATCACATAAACGCTCCCTCCAGATATGTGTTGACTCTCTCACACACACACACAATACTTTTTTTTTTATTTGTGTAGTTATGATAAATCATTTATTTCTCTAAAACCTTTAAAACAGAGTTTACAAAGTGCTCTGACAGACAAGCAGACACAGGAAAGTCAGGGGCGATTCCAAAAATGCATAAAAATAAACTATTATAATATTTGACAATTATAAAACAACTACGAGATACAATAGAAAATATTAGGAAATAAAATAAAAGTAGACAACATCATGTAAAACTAGTAAATACAAATAGAACAGAAACAATTAAAGAATATCCACATGAAGGCATTTTGGTATTTATTGTTTTACAGAAGGAACATTTTCTGTCAGTATGAGAAGTAGTTTTAAATATTTATAACAATTTATATGTTTTTTATGACATGAGAGACTAAAGACTCTCTCTCGTCTCTTCTTTTATTCGTCCCTGTCTCTTTTAAAAAACTTCTCAGCGTCTGAAGACCCGGCGGTGAGCAGCATGTGGTAACAGGAGGTCATGACAACACTTCAGTCCGCTTCCTGTTTACTTTATTAAATACAGCTGGACTCTGTCCCTGGAAATGTTCATTTTTTGATTCTGTCCATTTCCAATGTGTCCAGCTGTGTTTTGTCACGAACAAGCTTTTACTGACATCTTTAAATTTTTATCACAGCTTTGAAATGAATCTTTATAAAAGAGTTTACAGGCATTTTTTTTTTATAAGTGGATTGTCGTCGCCCAAACGTTTTCCAGAATAAATTCCCAGTGTGGAACTGTGACCTTTGACCCTTATCTTGGTTTCTTGCTGTAATGGTGACCCAGGAACTGCAGCGCCCTCTGCTGTTTCCTTCACACAGAGAAAGAACTGTAGTAGTAAGTGTAGTGCATACAGTTGCCCACTAGATGACGCTGAGAGATCACGCTCTTTCCTTGCAGCTGCAGGAGAATTAACCGGTGTCTCTTCCTCCGTTTCTTTCCCTTTTTTTTTTCTCCTCCTCTCCAGATGGAGCAGTTGTCAGACGAGGAGGTGGAGGTCAGGGAGGAAGAGGAGGAGGAAGAGGAGGACAGCGATAAGGAGGATCAGGACCTGGACAAGATGTTTGGAGCCTGGTTAGGAGAGCTGGACAAACTCACACAGGTACGAACACTCAAGTCTCGACGGTGACGTCATATTAAATGCAGAGCTGCAGTTTAAATTTTTCAAATTTTCTTTTTGTCAAATCCAGAGTCTGGACGACGGCCGCCCGGAGCGGCCTCCTCAGCAGAAGGCTCCCCTCAGACAGGAAACCAACATGGCCAACTTCTCCTACAGATTCTCCATCTACAACATCAATGGTAAAGACACAGTGACACACTCAAAGACGCACGTGTATAAACACACACACTCCTATTTGACCAGTTTGTCTCACGTCCTGATGCGTCTCCGTCTTCAGAGGCGTTGAATCAGGGCGAGAACGTGGACCTGGACGCTCTCATGGCGGATCTCTGCTCCATCGAGCAGGAACTCACCACCGTCAACGCAAAACCCAACAGCGCTGGCAGCATGGCTCGTCTGGGCCTGACCGACACTAAGGTACGCACATAACCACGTTACCGCGGAAACAAAACATCAGCAACCTCAACAATAATCCAAATATGAAGTTCAAACATAAGAATCAATAAATAGTTGAATATCGAATAGAGCAGTTTTAAAAACTTTGATTTGTAAAATATTCTCCAGGTCCGACAGAAGCCTCCAGCGGGGCGCAGCGGCAGGCAGCAGCCAGCAGGGAGCGGCGGTGGCGGTAGCAGCAGCAACAGCGTCAGCGGCGGCGGTGGCAGCAGCGGAGCGAGCAGCAGCAGCAGCAGCACCAGGGCGTCACCTGCTGGAACCATCAGAGCTCCCGCCGGGCATCATGGGAGACCGGCGCTGGCTTCTAACTTCAGTCTGGACGACATCACGGCGCAGCTGGAGAAGGTGCGTGAGCGAAGTTTTTATTCACAAATATAAATATACGTTAAATGTGTTAATGTGTGAAGAACCCTGAGAAGATATTATTAAATCGTGCTGTTTGTCCTCAGGCGTCCCTCAGCATGGACGAAGCCGCCCGTCAAACCTCGTCCCACTCTCTCAGCTCCGCCTCCACCTACACGTCGGCCACGATGCGGCGACCCGGGTCGTCTCAGCGGCAGCATCGACGCACAGGATCGGTCGGCACCGTCAGCGAACATGAGGTAAAGTGGGCGTCAAGATCACAATTAATCACAAGTTTGAAAACTACACATTTTTATCCTTGATTGGTGGAACCTCTTGGATTCGTTAACTCTCCTCCTGACTTTTCTTTTTTTTTTTTTTAAATTAAACCTTTTCTGATCTCCTCTCTCTCCAGGTGCGTTCGATCGTCCACTCCTCGCGCTCCTCCGTCACCTCGGCCTCTGGCGTTTCTGTGAACTCCGCCTCCTCCATGGATTCTTTGGACAGCGTCCTGCACTCCAGCGAATCTGAAGGTCAGCAGCCGTCGGTTCAAGCTGAAGTAGCCGGTCCAGGTCATCACATCACAGAGGTACGGGTCCACTTCCTGTCAGCGGTCAACAATCAGTGAATCAACGATTCTGAAGTCGTCAAACACTAAAAACGTCATCGATTCACCGACAGAAACTAACGACGCGTGTCTGCTAACGTTGACCTGAGTGCTGCCGTCATCACGACACACATCACTGCTAATTTCATCGTGAGGCTTTTAGCACCTGTCCACTGACGCCGAGTCTGCGATTGTTTCAAGCAGATTACGAAGCGATGATGTGAATCAGCCGATAATCACATTTAGAAAACAACAAATTACCAGCGTGCGTGAACTCTTCAGACAGGATGACTCACAGGGAGAGAAGGTAAAGGACCGTGTTCCAGGGATTATCCACATAGAACCAGAATTTCTTTCAGACCCGTCCAAGTTTTTTTTAATTTTTCTTCTCTCAAATCACCACCAGGGGGCGACTCCACAGGTTGTTTCTATAGAAGTCAATAGAAAATGACTCTTCATCTCTAGTTTCAAATATTCAATAGATGATGTTTCATTTCGTAAAGCACTGTATGTATTGGGGGTGTGATTGACAGCTTGCAGCGTCCAATGGGTGCAGGTCGCAGGTGTAGGTGCAGTCAGGCCCCACCCCCGCTCCTCTAAATATGGTTACTTCAGGTTTGAAGTGGAGGCTTCACAACCGCAGCTCACGAACTAGCAGGCGGATTTAAAGATTCAAAACTCCACTAATTGCAAAGTTTTATGTTTGATTTTAAGATTTGCATCATCGTCGACTGTAACCTTAAAGTTCCACCAGTTTTTAACGTGTAAATCAGTTTTCTAGGTCGTGTTCAGGTTTCTCTGCAGCAGCAGTTTGTGTTTGTCGGTTCTTTCTGCTGCTGCTGTCGCTCTCTGCTGCTTCAGGCTGCGTCTTCGCTTCTTTCATGAGCAGAAAAGACTGAAGAGAACGAGCCTGGTTAGAATCTTTCGCTGAATCACCCACGTACTCAGATCTGGATGATTCACAGTGTGTGAACAAGGTGAAGCTAAAACGATTGAAAAGGTTTGTTGTTGTCGTACATTTTCTTTTACAGGAGGTGGGTTTTTTTTTTTTGAGCACTTACACAGCGGCTGTGTTGCTTCTGACCCCGGTGACTGCTGAGGGAGTTTAAACACGACATCTCAAGAACGCTTCGAGGGAAGAAATGTTCGCTCAGACTCAAAGATGAATTGTTCAAGGTCGCGGCGGCCTCACACAATATGTTTATGTCTTTTTCTAAAGATCATCTCGAAGGTGTTTCTTCAAATTTGGTGAAACTGCTAAAGTCAGATGAACAGATTAGAATCATAAACACCTTTTTGTCCTTGTGAACACATTATCTCAAGAACGCCTCCAGAGAATCCGGTTAAATCTCGCACATATGTTCAGTTAAACTCTTGGATTAACTGATTACTGACCGTGGGTCGGTAATTTCTCGTCAGTGCCTTGCTCAACTCTAATGAAGGAGGCCAGTGAGCTGCACTCCAAACACAAACCCTGTTCAACGCATGAGAAACAGAGTCACTGCTCCAGTTCATCTGAGAGACTCTGGAGAGAAAGAGAAGAGGAGAGGAGGAGTGAAAGATAGAATAATGAGCGGAGAGAGGCCACAGTGAGTCAGCAACCCACTGTGGACAATAAAGGCATTAGGCGCAGAGGATGATGGGAACTAAAGGGAGAGGACGGAGAGAAGCGAGAAAAAGAGAGAGGGATCAAAAAGAGAGGGATGAGAGGAGGAGATGTGCTTGTAGTGTTTTCTCCCTGAGCTGCTCCCACGAGTCCAGCTCATTAGAAACTGGGACTGCTGCACTTTGAGTGTTTCCTCGATTTAGGGCAGTAAAAAATAACATCGTGTTGAGACTTTGAATTGTTCAGAGACTCAGTCGACCTGAGGAGAGAAGGAAGAAGAGTCCAGAGGCTGAAAACTAAAGGAGACAGAACCTTTGCTGTGAGGAAACTTCCTCCCTGGATCAATCTGGAGAGAGATGAGACGAGCAGAGTTATTATCATTAATAAAAATAAAAATAGGAGTCTGACTACGAGCAGCAGCATGAAGCAGCCATCCACTTGATTACTGTGACCTTAAGGGGATCAACACACACACACACACACACACACACACACACAC